CTTCCCAGGGACCCCCGATCCATGCCTCAAATCACTCTGCTTGTCCCTGCAGATAATTCGGATTAAACCTCACTCTAAAAGTAGAAAGGAGATTTTAGAAGGAAGTGTCTAAGTGACTTGAAGACAGCCAGAGGGGAGGAAAGTGACAGGCCTGAATCGCCACCTCTTGTCCACTCACCAACTCTGCCTCCCAACTTGGCTGAGACATGTGAGAGGAGAGATTCACAGGGGATGGTCTCCACGTCCTTTCCAGCTTCTAAAAACTCCCGTGACTGCGTTGCTTTCCGAAATGAAAACAGGATTCATTTGTGGACTGGAAGCGGCGTTTGAAAGGTGACATGCCTCTTTATAGCAAAAGCAGTTCTCAGTCACTTTGGAGGAGGGCTGACGGCTCAAGGACCACCTTCTCTTCCCCCAAAGCTTCAGCTTCTCCTCCAGGTGAGGGGGGCCTGCAGCCCCCAGCCAGCGTCCTGTCGCTGCTCAGCCTCCGTGGGGACAAATGACTGCATCCACGGCATCTAGGCTTCAGGGAACACAGTCCCAATACATTGTCAAAGTTGGTTTCACTTTTCAGAACAGGTGACAGATCAGGACATTCTCAAATTCTTTTCCAAAAGAACTTATTATGGAAATACATGCTCTTTCTGCCACAATGTTATCAACTTTGATTTTGAAGCAGGCGGCAATCAGTTCCTGTTAACTGGGGGAGAGCAACTTGAACTTGATGCTGTCTGCTCGCTCCCCGCACCCTCCAAGGAGACACCTTTAACTTCAGGGTCTTGATGATGTGATTCATTTAGAAGAGCTACCTCCTGTCATCAGTCTGATTGGAAATTCAGCAAAACCTGGCATGCTCTCACAGGGGAGATCCCCAAGCTGAGGTTTGCAGGCAGCCCCAACGTCCGGGGGCAAACCCCGGCCTGCCCCCGAGTCAGCGCATCCCAGCACCTGCCTCCCAGCCACTGCCCCCGGCGACCAGGTAGAGGCGGTCCTCCTGGGATGCCCAGCTCCCTGACTGGGTAGACGTGGTCCTCCTGGGATGCCCAGCTCCCTGACTGAGTAGACGCGGTCCTCCTGGGATGCCCAGCTCCCTGCCCAGGTAGAGGCGGTCCTCCTGGGATGCCCAGCTCCCTGACTGAGTAGGCGCGGTCCTCCTGGGATGCCCAGCTCCCTGCCCAGGTAGAGGCGGTCCTGCTGGGATACCCAGCTCCCTGACTAAGTAGACGTGGTCCTCCTGGGATGCCCAGCTCCCTGACCAGGTAGAGGCGGTCCTCCTGGGATGCCCAGCTCCCTGCCCAGGTAGAGGTGGTCCTGCTGGGATGCCCAGCTCCCTACTGACCTGCTGCAAGTGCGGGGGTGTGCCCTGCAGGAGATGGTGCTGGTGCAGGGGCCTCCATTTTCGGATAACTCAGAAGACAGCCCAGGATCTCTGTACATTCAGGATAGTTTCCTCTTTACACTTCCCTCAACTATAGTTAAACTATGAGTTATGAATTATTTGATATACTGTCTGTCTTCTCCCACCAGATGAAGGTCTGTTGAGGCAGTGACCTATCTCCTTAATCTCATTCTCCTCATGGGCGGAAGCTCGGCATCTGATGTAGAGCAGACATTTAAGTGAACAGACAGACCAATCCATCGCCGAGTCAGTCCGTAAGTCTGGGTTCTACAGTGAAACCCATTTTCTCTCCAGGCAGTCTGAAGGTGAGCATCACTGGAGTCGTCAGAAACAGCAGGGATGTGCCCTCCATGTTGGGAAGAGGGCGTGATGGATTCCTCCCACAATTCAGCGAGTTTGGATCCCAAGGACGACTCACCGCCACGAAGACCCATGACGATGGGTTCCGAACTCATCTCACAGGAAAAGGCCGCACCCAGGAGAGTCCCCTTCTTTGCTCATCCTGGGGTGGGGGTGACAGGTGTGCAGCCCACCTGGGCCAGTGTGGGCGGGCTGCTTCTGGAGTGCACTGGTCCCCACGGGGCCTCTCAGTCCATAGGTGCCGCACACACACGCACTCACACACACACATTCCCACACACGCACACTCACACACACACACACACTCACACACACACTCACACACACACCACACACACTCACACACACATACATTCTCACACACCACACTCACACTCACTCACACACACACTCACACACATACCCACACACACACACACATACATTCCCACACACGCACACACACACACACACATACATTCCCACACTCACACACACACACATATTCCCACACACGCACACTCACTCACTCACACACACACTCACACACCCACACACACACTCATACACACATACACACACATACATTCTCACACACGCACACTCACATTCACTCATACACACACACACATATATACTCACACACACACACGTACACACCCCCACACACCCACACTCACACACATGCTCACATGCACTCACACATGCTCACACACACGCACTCACACACACTCACACAGATACACACACATGCGTGCTTGCTTTCTTGGCAGCTTAGTGCTCCTCCTGTTCACAAATCTTGGAGAAGTCACAGGTTTGTTTGGGAAGGCCAAGATGTACAGCTTAGTAACAGAAAAACACGAAAAGACCTTCTGTTACCAAAATAGGAAACTAAATGTTCATTCTTTTCTCAAAGGAGGAAAAGTCATCTCCCAGAGGTCTCAATCTGAGTGAAAAGGTCACCTTCGGATGAGCAGCTGGGAACGGCTCCCTGTCCCGGGGGGCTCGGCAGGTAACTCACCTCCGGTGAGCGCTCAGTCACGTGGCACCTGCAGGGGCCGTTCTGCTGCTGCTGGCAAAGGACCACGCCCAGGACGCGTGCCCACGGGCCCCGGGCCGCTTCCCCGTGCTCCGGGGGCGGCGCACGCCACGGGCCCCGGGCCGCTTTCCCCGTGCTCCGGGGGCGGCGCACGCCACGGGCCCCGGGCCGCTTCCCCGTGCTCCGGGGGCGGCGCACGCCACGGGCCCCGGGCCGCTTCCCCCGTGCTCCGGGGGCGGCGCACGCCACGGGCCCCGGGCCGCTTTCCCCGTGCTCCGGGGGCGGCGCACGCCACGGGCCCCGGGCCGCTTCCCCCGTGCTCCGGGGGCGGCGCACGCCACGGGCCCCTGGCCGCTTCCCCATGCTCCGGGGGCAGCGCACGCCACGGGCCCCGGGCCGCTTCCCCGTGCTCTGGGGGCGGCGCACGCCACGGACCCCGGGCCGCTTTCCCCGTGCTCTGGGAGTGGGAGCAGCTGCAGAGCCAGACTCGGCCCCGGCGTGAAGCAGGGAAAACCCCGCGGCAGCTGGACACAGCCTGGAGGCGCAAAGCCTCCCCCGCGCCGCTGTTCGTGACCCCCTGCCCTTCCTCTGCGCCTGCGGTCACGGGCTGTCTCATTCCTGCCCCTCACCTCTGCAGGAATGCTGGGGCCAGCCCACGGAGACCCTGGGAGGACGACAGACAGCCTCAGGCTGACCGCCTCCAGATGCCCTGACCTCTGCCTGTGTGACAGCTCACGCCAGAGCCCCACCCCTGCCACGCTCGCCCAGCGGCTGGAGGCCTGCGGTTCCGTGATGCTCATAAAGAGAAAAATATGTTCCCAATAAGGGCAACACTTAATATTCACAAGTAACAAATCATAGCGCGGGTAGCACAACAGCGCTGAGAACTTAATAACGGGAGGTTAATAACCATAAAATACCAGGACCGTTTTCCTGCGGGACCGGGAGGCAGCCCCAGCTGTTCACAAGAGCAGCCTGTTTTAGGGAAGAAGCCTTGACGGAGTGAAGCACCTCGGGGCCCACCTCGGCACTGAGTGTGTTCAGGCGCAGACCTCTCGCGGAGCCGTGAATGGGCACAGATTTGGGTTTTTCAGTTTTGCTTTGACTACAAGACAGATAAAACACAAAAAATGACAAGCTAGAAGAATGTGCGTAATTTATCATAAAGTCAACCTCAAAAATGGGCTTTTGTTAAATTGCATTATTTGCAGATTTGTAAGTATTTTCAGCAAGAAAGCGCCTGGGCTCTTCACCACCCCTCTCGACGCTTTCTCCTGCGTACCAGGTGATGGAGCCCAGCCATCGCCCTGACCACTGTGCTTGCCGGCCTGTGTGTACTGGAATGACGGGAGCTTCTTCCTCACTGGGGACAAGTCTTTTCAAATATTCGAGCACCAAGCCTATCCTGTCCACCCCACATGTGAAAAACTAATTATCATAATTAAAGTGAAACACAGCAACAAAGAAGCAATTGATCCATAACAAACCTGCCAGAACGCTCATTTCCAAACCACTGATGCTCCTGATGCGGTCGTCTGCGGAGCTGCAGTCGGGTCCTCACTGGGGCAGATCTCATTCTCAGAGGAGGGCTAGGAGCTCCCGACAGGGTGTGGACACGAAGGAGAGTGACAGTCGTGTCAACAGCATGTGTGCTGAGTTATTGAGGCTGGGACCGGCGAGGCTGTAAATTCCTCCCAAGGTCGTTCCAGAAAGACATTTGTAGAATGCAATGCCACCTTCAAAATTCAAAACCTGCGCTGTAAGGGCTCAGGTATATTTGATGAAAATAGTCTTGTTTCGTACAGGGTCAGGAGGAAATTGTTGGGGGCAAGCTTCCTTCACCACCCAGAGAGCTCACGCACACACACACACACACACACACACACACACACTCCCCAAAGAGAAGCTCAAATCAAAGTTGCTTCCCACGTGGATTCCTGCAGTACCCTGGACAGAAATTTATAGCATTTTCCTGGGAGAGCTTGCAGGAGGTTGCCTTTGACACCTCGCCACTATATTGAAGTCTCTGTTCAAGGAGATTGAAGGGGGCAGCGCCCAGATGAGCAGTTCGGGGCTTCCGTTGGCAGTGAGGGAGCCTCACGGTGGCTGAGGGGACGTCCCTCATGCAACAAACAAATCTGAGGGTAAGCAGGTCATTTAAACAGGGGTTTGCCAGGTGGTGCCAGCCCCAGGCAGGGGCAGGGACCAGGGCCACCAGCCACCATGGCTGCAGCTGCAGAATGGAGGCCTGGTGGTCCAGCCAGCGCTGACCTGGGAGGTGCAGACAGCAGCCCGTGGACTCACTACCGGGTGGGCACCGTGCCCACCCGCCTCGAGGGCAGCACCTCACAGACACCACAGGGTGAGCGGACGTTCTTTGTGAAGTCGGATCGTGGTACCTGCAACAGGCCCCGAGCCTCCTCCACGGAAAGGAAGCGTGGAGGGGACAACAAGTGGCGGCCGTGGGCCCTGCTCAAGTCCTGTGTCTACAGTTTCACGCGAGTGGACATCTGAGGGGAGGACTAAGGGGTCTGAGCCAGCCACGCCAGGGAGCCATGGGGCCGGGGGTCCAGGAGGGTGCGGGCCCGAGGGTCTGCAGCGAGAAGAGCAACTTCTCAGCAGGGATGCTCTTCAAAGCCCCGCCCCCCACTCCTCTGCTCGTCAAGTCACGGTAAGCATAGGAAGCCCCACACTCCTCTGCTCGCCAAGTCACGGTAAGCACAGGAAGACCGAGCAACTGTCCCAGCAACAGGAGCTGAGGGGGACGCGAGACTGAATGAGTGTGCTGTCCAGGGTCCCCTCTGGGCGGAAAAGTGACAGCAGGCAAACATGGAGGAGGTAAGAGTAAAAGGCAAACGTCGACTGATGAGGATACGTCAGCATCTGCATCAGCTGTGACGGATATACCAAAGGTACTGTAGGGATGTAAGATGCTAACAGTGGGGGATTCTAGGTGTGGGGTGTGCTGAATATGTCTGCATGTCTTAGCCACTTTTCTGTAAATCTAAAATTATTCTAAATTAAAAAGGCTGTTCAAACTTAAAGGATAAATCCATCTCATCTGCGTCTGCTGTGGGTGGTTTGGGAGCAGCGCCTCTGAGCCAGGACTCAGCCCCCAGCTCTGCCTTGTCAGTCTGGATGAAGCCTGGTACCCACAGGGCATCCTCACCTGTCCACTTAGGGACCCCTCGGGATTGGCAAGTTGATCTCTGAAAATGCTCATTACAGGTTCCAACAGCAGAAAGGGATATAAATTCTGGCATATTATAATATACTTTACAGTGAAACTGGTACGTCATTATTAAACACATCCCATGGAATCTGAAAGGCAAGGCTTACCTATCCACCATCTCCCCATCTTAAAAATTCACAGACAACTTGTTAACAGCCAGAAATTTTCCACAAGTCCATTTTCTTCCTCTTAAACTCGTATATCCGTTCCCCACCTCCCACGGAATTTTATCCCCAAGGGATCGATGTTTACGCTTAGAATTGTGCTATTCCTCATCCTCTCACTCTCCTCTGCACAAGAATATTGACATGAATATAACTTTTTGTTTCCAGTGACCATGAGACTCTAATGTCAAAAATAATTTTCTTCGGGATTGAATTTTGCTACACTGTTCCAAGTACACAGCTCATCAGCAGAACGTAAGTGTTATCTGAATCTGGATGAACACATAGCAAGTATAAAACACATCTTTATTAGAAGTGCCTCATTGAATGAAATGGATGGGCTGATTCTTCCAAACGGTTCATTTATCCTTGGGTGACTCCATACTGCTAGGAGGGGGCTGGGGGCGAGGACTGATTCTGCGTCCGTTGATTTTCTGTAGCGGTGTTAGCTGAGAAAGCATGAGGCTGAGCGTGGAGTTCAGACCCGGGGCCTGCTCGGCTGTGCTCCCAGTCGCCCGGCCCTCACAGAGAAGCTCGGTGCAGGCCAGACGGGGCCCGGACTCGGGCGTGGGCACACCGCTGCCCCCCCCCACCACACACAGCACCCCCGGGAGGCAGCCTCACTCTGAAACTGTCACCAGGGAATCCTGGCACACACGCACCCCCTCCCAAAAGGTGCAACCCCACCCCACCCCCGAGAAACAGCCCTTTGGCTGTCGGCGTCAAAAGACCGATTTTGTCCAGTTTCTCCACTCCCCAGGCACAGACGGCAGCCCCTCCACATCCCGTCTGCACTTCGGGAGGAGACAGCCCGGAGGAGGTCAGGGTGGAACCCACTCTGTCCTGCGAAGGGCTCTCCTCACGGCCCAGGTGACCACTGGTGCCTCGCATCCCAGGGGGAGGGTCAGCCTCAGGGCAAACATGGGCGTCAGGAGGGAACCGTGCGGTGGGCCAGGTGCCTCCGTGGGCAGGAAGGAGTCCCAGGCAACAGGGATGGGGGTCTTCCCAACTGTAGTCACGATGTCTGCAGGCACGGTCAGAGTTGCAGAGGTCAACAAGGAAACAGCATGGCATGCCTGGACGTCTAGAACTTTCTCCCACAGGCCCTCCAGAGTAGGCCAGGCTGGGGGGCAAGGGCAGCCTGGGCTCCTGGTCCAGCGGGTGAAGGGACCACAAGTGAGGAGGTCAGGACCCTGAGAGAGGCCTTGGCACAGGGGCTGGGAGATGCGGTCACAGCACACAGCGGCCGAGCCCTTGCCAGCCGGGCCCTGGACCCAGCCAGCTCCGAGCCTCGGTGAAGGCCGACACTGAGCCTCTCCCAGCCTGGCAGCCTCGGCCCTGAGTGAGAGGCCGCCTGCACAGACCTTCCAAAGACGAAACCCTGTTAGGCAGAGGCAGTGAAGGGCGGTGCCCTCCTAGGCTCACTCACCAGCCCCAGGAAGGACCCCCGCACACCCCCACCCTCATGAAGAGCCTGGTCTGGGCAGCCCGGGGACACGGCAGAGAGTCAAGTGCAACTTCACAAGGGTCCCCGACACCAGCTTAGGGCCATGTCAGAGCAAGAGCAGGCACATCCCAGTCCCCGCGGGCAAACGTCCCCGCCTTCTGCAGCCCTGGAGGCTGGGCCAGGAGGCAGCCACACCACACCCGGGGCAGACATGTGCCCAGGGCACCACCCAAGGGTGGCCACCGCCTGCTCCCACCCTCCCAGGACACACCCAAAGCACATCCAGCGGCAGAGCCCCAGGCCTCCCGCCTGGAGGTCTAGAAATCCAGGCTGGGACAGAGGGCCCCAGGGAACAGAATTCAAGTCCCTAGGTCTCAGTACCCCTTCCACTTTTGGTGGCAGCAAAATAATTACTCATAATCGTATTGATAGATTAGGGCTTCCCAGGTGGCTCAGTGGTAAACAACCCATCTGCCAAAGCAGGAGACGCAGATTCAGTCCCTGGGTCGGGAGGATCCCCTGGAGAAGGGCATGGCAACCCACTCGAGTCTTCTTGCCTGGAGAATCCTACGGACAGAGGAGCCTGGCGGGCTACAGTCCATGGGGGTCGCAAAGAGTCAGACACGACTGAGCATGCGCACGCACGCACACACTCACAGGTCAGTAGTTCTGCCTCTGAAATCAAAGGCAGGCATGGTGCTGGCTGCGTGTGACGGCGGAGCAGGCACCATCTCACTGGGCAGGAAGGTGCTGGGTGGAGGCTAGCACCCACCCGGGGCCAGCCTGAAGACCACCCCCTCGCAGGCCTTGGGCACACGCTGACCTGGCCTGATGCATCCAGTGTAGCAGAGACCACAAGGACACATGCTGCAGAAACCCACCACAGACAGCAACAGCACAAGCCTCGGGGAAGTCCTGCATAGACAGTCCACTGGGTTCTGGAAAGCCTTCTAGGCTGAGAAGTAACAGCAGCCTAATTTTTCTTACATCCGATAAGCTTATTTTTGCAGTCTGAAGCAACCAAACACAGAATTGCATTTGCCGTTTTAGCCGAGCTACAAATCCCGTAACTGCTCCTTTTATAGAGACTGAGGGTTTGTGACACTGCCTTACAGAACAAAAGGACAACTATTGGCAAAAAATAAAAAGCAATCCTAGGCATACCAGTCCCTTGCCACAGATCTCTAAAATAAAAGGAGTCTGGACAAGAGGAGACTGTAGGCTTCCATTTCCTTTGTCTTGGGTCCTGAGTCCTCACGCATTTGCAACCTTCCATCTGTGCCAGGAACGTGGGTCTGGACTGCTAATGACGCTCGCGGCTTTGCGGGGCTCCCTTGGAGTTGAGCGTCGTAATTAAAATTCACAGCAGATGCTACCAAAACAGCGTAATCTATGTGCGAGGAAAAACAGAGAAACAAAGCAACATGCCAGCCCCAGTAAACAGCTAAAGAGAATTTCAGATAACAAAACAAACAAACAGAAAGGGAACAGAATCACTGCACCAGTGGAGGAAAAAGAACCGTCTTGGGGGTGCTTCCCAGGTCCCTCCCTCACCCAGGCTCCGCTCAGACGGGCAGGACAGGGGCCAGGGGAGGTGCCACACGCGCCACATCTTTGTTCCTAGAAGGGACCGTGTGCCCTGAAAGTCTTGCTCTTCTGCCAATCATCAGCCTAAATTCTAGAAGAAAATGGAAAGACTGGCAATTTCCTGTTCTCTGCAGCTTCCAGACAGCGGGCAAGTCTCTCCCCTGACCCCAGCCCTGTGTTACAGGGAGAAGGACCCCGAGCCCGGCGGGGCCCCCAGGGTCTTCCTTTGAAGGGTCTGCTCACAGGGCGCCTCCTTCACATCCCCACCCTGCTCCCTCCCCTCCCAGGTCCTTCCAGCTCTGCAAGCACACCTGCTGAGTGGGTGTGGGCAGGGCTGGTGCAACGTGTGGGAAGTGAGAAGTGAGAACCTCACAGTGGCTCAGGACAGCCGTCCATCGGCAGGCACTGACCCGGCCGGGGTCACCCGTTCTCCGTTCTGGAACCACCCCCAGGGACAGCCCCTCAACATCGCTGGTGCCCTCTCTACTTGGAGCCCCTCCCCTCTATTCCCAGGGGGCCCCACCCCAAGGAGGGAGGTGGCAGAATGAGAGACAAGTTCAGTCCTTCTGAAAACAGTATCTGATGGTTCTTAGCACTTCCAGCATGCCGTTTAGATGAGTGCATTCACTTGGCTTAAAGTACACCATTACGTTTTGCAAACATCTATTCAAACACAAGCTCCAAGATCACCTTATCAAGGAGACCAGGCCCATGTTACGGGTGAAAAAGCAGCTCCCCATCCCCGGGCCCTGCTGCCTGCCCCCGCTCCCCTGCAGACCCTCAGCACTGTTGGGCAGAGGACATGCTGACAGACAGGAGTCCGTGTGTCCCCATCCACCGGGGCTCTGCAGGGCGTGTTGCGGGACGTTCGGCCTGGAGAACAGAGCTCAACAAGTGTTTGCACCATGAAGGAGAAGGGGCGACAATTCAGC